CACTATCAGAGTTTTTCTCACCATTGCCACTTCACTGAATTGGAAGGTCAGGCAGCTTGACATCAATAATGCATTTCTTAATGGAGAAATATCTGAAAACATATATATGATGCAACCTCCTGGTTTTGAACAAGAATCTGACACACCTTTGGTTTGCAAGCTTACAAAGTCCATCTATGGTTTAAAACAGGCCTCTAGAGCCTGGTTTTTGAAGGTAAAGTCTACCCTGCAAACTTTGGGTTTTACTTGTTCCAAGGCAGATAATTCCCTTTTCTTCAAACTCAGTCAAGGAACAGTGATCTACCTTCTAATTTATGTGGATGATATTTTAATTACTGGAAATAATGAAGATGCAGTGAGCAGCATAATCAACTTGTTAGGGAAGAATTTCTCACTCAAAGATATGGGAGAATTGCATCATTTGTTAGGCATTGAAATCAGAAGGACTGAAGAAGGAATGCATCTTAATCAAAGACAGTATGCACAAGATCTTCTTCATAAGGCCTCAATGGCAGAAGCTAAGGGTATTGCTACTCCAATGGCTTCTCATACTCAACTCAGCAAGTATGAAGGGAAAGAAAATGCAAATGGAACTCTTTTCAGGAGCTTGGTGGATGGATTGCAGTACCTAACCATCACCAGGCCAGATTTGGCTTACAGTGTCAACAAAATTAGCCAATATATGTCCAACCCTTTGGACACTCACTGGAAGGCCATAAAAAGGATATTGAGATATGTCAATGGAACTCTGCATTTTGGCCTAAACATTTCCAAAGCAACACAATTTAACCTGGTTGCCTTTTCAGACTCAGATTGGGGAGCTGACATTGATGATAGAAGATCAACTACAGGTTTTTGTGTGTTCTTAGGAGGAAATTTGATTTCTTGGAGTTCAAGGAAGCAGGCCTCGGTTTCTAAATCAAGTGCTGAAGCAGAATACAAGAGCCTCTCTCATGCATGTGCTGAAGTCATGTGGCTTACCTCGCTGTTGAAAGAAATCAGGATCACAACCCTACAAAAACCTGTGATCTGGGTTGACAATCAGAGTGCCATTGCCTTGGCCACAAATCCAGTTTTGCATGCTCGAACCAAACATGTAGAATGGACTATCACTTTGTAAGAGAGAAGGTGGCTGCCAACCTCTTGGATGTAAACCACATTCCCAGCTATGAACAAGTGGCAGATGTTCTAACCAAGCCACTCGGGGTACAATTCTTCACAAGGCTGCATGGAAAACTTAAAGTCTCTCCTTCACCCTTGTTCGAATTGAGGGGGGCTGATGAAATACATGATCAAGCATGTAATGTCCAAGTCAAAGAGTAAAAGAAATTTACTCTTGTTTCATTATCCACCTTGCATGTGCATGGGACCACAACTTTAAATTTGAACTTATTTGTCTTGTAGCTAAGACTAGGGTTGCTTTGTCATAGTATATATATGTAATGTCCTTGGGACCAAGTGTAATGAAAATGTTATCAATTCACTCTCATTTCTTGTTCCATTAGCCGCCATGTACGGCTCTACTCACTATTATGAGATTACATGAAATTCTTCAGGGATATAATCTTTGGAGAAATTTATGCAATTTTTTTCATATTCTGAGATATGTATTTGTTTCAATTATATCACCATACAATGAAGAAGGGAAACAAAAAGTATTAACCACTTCATGTAATTTTTGGAATTGAGAATAATGTGAACATGGTAATGGATATACAATGTGGGGAGATTTATATATTTATTAATAAAAAAATAATAAGTGGACAAAAAACAAAAAAAAAAAAGAGAGTGGACCAACATAGAAAGCACGTATTTTGTAAATACGTTTTCTGTGTAATTTAATTAAAAAGCGTATTCCTTAAATACGTTTTTTAATATTATTCCAATTTTCAATTTAAAAAAATTTGAATATGATCTTGATTTGGATGTGGTCAATCTTGTATATCATAAATTTAGAAATTTATTATTTAATAATATCACTTAATTATTAATTGATCCTAATATTTTAGTCATTGTTTTGAAATATTTTGAATTTTAGTTAATACATATTAATTATTAAATTTTATTTCATTAAAGAACATACATTTTGAACTTAACTGCTATTGTATTTTAAGTGAGATAACTTAAAATATGTAGTTAATGGGTGTGTAAATTTCTTGAAAGTGTTTTTAAATGTGTATATTAATCGATCTCCATATGTATTTATCTATTAGGAAAAAATATGCCAAATCGCAAAATTATCGTAGGTTAATTAGCAGAAAATTATCTTCATACTTATTGTAAGATGATTCAGAAATCCATAAATTAAAGGGTTAATACAGTAATATGCTTTATTAAAATGATACAAATATACCAAAAATATAAGAATGATTAGAACATTACATATTTACATAGAAGAAACCTATTTCAAAATTTTGTTTTTTATATAATCATCCCATGAAATTAGAAAAGAAAGAATATTGATGTTATTAGAACTATTAGGTTATCTGGCAAAGACAAATTAACATGTTTTAATGTTATTATTATGTGTACTCATATGGAGTTCCTTTTTTTTTTTTTCTTTTGATAATTAATAGCTGACGGATTCCCACAATTTTTTTTTTAACGTTTTATGTATTAAGTTTATCAAGTGAAAAGTATTTATTTGGTTTCAATTACAACTTTGAGGTTAATGATAAATAAAAACTAACATATAGAAATTAGTATTCTGTTTAGAAACCACATCGAATGTTTCAGTGTCAGATATTATGCAAATTATGAGAAAAATAAATTGATCTTACGGGATTGTTGTGACTAAAATAGAATAACAACATAAAATTTAAAATATGTTAACATATTCTACGAAAATAAAATCAAAAGTTATTTATAAGATTTAAATCTTTGTGGAAAATAACAATACTTCAGATTTTTTATGAGATATCCTTATTTGGAAAGTCAAACTTAAAAAATAAAAAGTCAATTTTCTATTTCAGTATTTGTTCCAACAACCTTCTTATATTAGTATAGATTGCATTCATATTTTTTAGATAATCTTTAAGCTAATAATCAATTATTATTGCATATTTTTTTTATAAAATTTTACTATAATTTCAATAATATACTTATAACTATCAATTAATTATTATTTTTATTGAATAGTAAACTAATAAAATGAATGGATTGGAGAAGTTGGATATATATCCAATTTCAACTAAATTCACTTTATTATTTTTATACCAACGACTTGGTCCAACCGTGTTCTCTCCATCTCTCATTTTCCATCACACCAAACGGAGGTCATGACAAGCTCCATCATCGACCAAATCATTAAACTGCAATCACATTTTTT